ATGGTGAAAAAAGTTAAAGATCTAATATGCACATTTTCAATTCCCTTGTGAAATTCGCAACAAAAGCATACATTTCTAGGATTAATGAACAATGGAACTCTTTAGCAGTAACCCAAATGGGCGTCTTATCTTATCAATTTCTTATACATTAAGCCCTCACACGCATGCCAATGGCAATTTCGAACAATAAATTTTAATAATTCCCAAATTTATGCGGTAAAAAGTGCCACCCTTTCAGCCCCCAAAAACTTCAAAGTGCAAAGTTGGATTATACGTATGTAGCTCCCAGATTCCTCACCGTAACCTCAACGAGCATCCCTTCCGCTTATTTATTTAAAATGCAGCTCGCGGTGGCTGGAAATTCTCGTGTGGATTGCGGATTGCCACGCCCCCTTCTCCCTTCTCCTTCTCCACCAGCAAAGGTGCAAAAAATCCACACTCTTTGACAATTCCTTTGAGATTTGATTGCGGGAGGGAGACAGCTGGAGAGTGTGCGAAAGGGAGAGTGCGGTTTTGCATAAAAATATGAAGCCATTGAAATGTAGATTTTCCCATTGTGATGTTGGAAGATGAAAACTTTGATTCTTGGAGCAGATCAGGCGAAGCTTACAGCTAGCTGTGTATATCGCTCCTTCCCCCGATGACCCACATTTTCGACCATTTCTTACTCAGCCATTGATGACGCCGCAGAAACGAAGAAGGACTCGCCAAAGGAGCAGCAAAATTCATGAGTTTTTGGCATTTGTTGACAGCCACAGTTCACTCAGTTGTGCAAAAGTCAAGACAAACACAATAAATGCGATTCTAGGGGGTTTTTCCAATAGCCAAATACAGTCAAGCATCGCCAATTAGATATTTGCTACAACATAAAACAATTCATTTTCGGGATAGCAGTCTTATTTTTATGGAGTTACGATGCTGGCATTCTATCTCTGGGCAATTATTCCTGTTCGCTTATCGAAACTTGACTGTACATACTGGCAAGCCCACAATAACTGAAGCGAAATAACTTACTACAAATTATTCGGCAAATATTAAGCACACATAACATGTGAACAAGTCAGAAAGTTCATTTCAATGTCTGCCGACGACCCCAATAATAAAATCCGACAAGGTTGGCAAAAATACAAAAGAAGCGCCATTTGTCGTCCTTTTCTGACGGACTGCCACCCTCTCTTTCCCACTCCCCCATCCCTTTCTTTTCGATTGAAGAAGCGAACAGTTCATTGAAATGCCAGCGACGAAACATGGACAATGAAGGTTCAATGATGGCTAGGTGGAAAAGTTGGGGAGTTCCTCGGCATGATTTCCGCCAACTGTGCACAAAGTGTATTTTATTTTTGATTAGGCAGGCGCGACTGTTTTTGTTTGGGCAATAAAGAGATGACGGAGCAGTCGGCGTGATTAGCCAGATACACAGATGCTATATCTTCGCCAGATCGATCGGAACAGTCATGAGTAGTTAAAATTGACTTACACAAAAATAAAACAAGATAGAATGCTATAGTCGAGTTCCCCGACTTTCTCAGCTAGTGGAAGTGCAACCCAGAAATTTTTAACAATCTATTTAACTTTCTATTTAAATTTCTAAATTTGAATGCAGATTTTTAGATAATTGCGCCAGAAACATTTAGAGGTATGCCACTTTAAAATCCGATTAAGATAAGTTGAGTTATGGAGCTTAGAACTTCAGCCTAGGGACACTTCTTACTTTTCTTGGATTTCTACATCAGAAAAATTACAAAAAATTAAAAAAAAAAAATATTTCTAAATTTGAATGCAATTTTTTAGAGAATTGCGCCAGAAACATTTAGAGGTATGCCACTTCAAAATCCGATTAAGATAAGTTGAGTTATGAAGTATAGAACTTCAACCTTGGGACATTTTTTAATTTTTTGAGCTTCTACAACATTATACACAGAAAAATTCGAAAAAAATTGAAAAAAAAATAATTTTATAAATTTGAATGCAGATGTGTAGAGAATTGCGCCAGAAACATTTAGAGGTATGCCACTTCAAAATCCGATTAAGATAAGTTGAGTTATGAAGTATAGAACTTCAACCTTGGGACATTTTTTAATTTTTTGAGCTTCTACAACATTATACACAGAAAAATTCGAAAAAAATTGAAAAAAAAATAATTTTGTAAATTTGAATGCAGATGTGTAGAGAATTGCGCCAGAAAAATTTAGAGCTATGCCACTTCAAAATCCGATTAAGATAAGTTGAGTTATGGAGTATAGAACTTCAGCCTTGGTACATTTTTTATGTTTTTTGAACTTCTACAACATTATACACAGAAAAATTCGAAAAAAATTGAAAAAAAAATAATTTTGTAAATTTGAATGCAGATGTGTAGAGAATTGCGCCAGAAACATTTAGAGGTATGCCACTTCAAAATCCGATTAAGATAAGTTGAGTTATGAAGTATAGAACTTCAGCCTTGGGACATTTTTTAATTTTTTGAACTTCTACAACATTATACACAGAAAAATTCGAAAAAAATTAAAAAAAAAATAATTTTGTAAATTTGAATGCAGATATGTAGAGAATTGCGCCAGAAACATTTAGAGGTATGCCACTTCAAAATCCGATTAAGATAAGTTGAGTTATGAAGTATAGAACTTCAGCCTTGGTACATTTTTTATGTTTTTTGAACTTCTACAACATTATACACAGAAAAATTCGAAAAAAATTAAAAAAAAAATAATTTTGTAAATTTGAATGCAGATGTGTAGAGAATTGCGCCAGAAACATTTAGAGGTATGCCACTTCAAAATCCGATTAAGATAAGTTGAGTTATGGAGTATAGAACTTCAGCCTTGGTACATTTTTTATGTTTTTTGAACTTCTACAACATTATACACAGAAAAATTCGAAAAAAATTGAAAAAAAAATAATTTGGTAAATTTGAATGCAGATGTGTAGAGAATTGCGCCAGAAACATTTAGAGGTATGCCACTTCAAAATCCGATTAAGATAAGTTGAGTTATGAAGTATAGAACTTCAACCTTGGGACATTTTTTAATTTTTTGAACTTCTACAACATTATACACAGAAAAATTCGAAAAAAATTAAAAAAAAAATAATTTTGTAAATTTGAATGCAGATATGTAGAGAATTGCGCCAGAAACATTTAGAGGTATGCCACTTCAAAATCCGATTAAGATAAGTTGAGTTATGAAGTATAGAACTTCAACCTTGGGACATTTTTTAATTTTTTGAGCTTCTACAACATTATACACAGAAAAATTCGAAAAAAATTGAAAAAAAAATAATTTTGTAAATTTGAATGCAGATGTGTAGAGAATTGCGCCAGAAAAATTTAGAGCTATGCCACTTCAAAATCCGATTAAGATAAGTTGAGTTATGAAGTATAGAACTTCAGCCTTGGGACATTTTTTAATTTTTTGAACTTCTACAACATTATACACAGAAAAATTCGAAAAAAAATAAAAAAAAAATAATTTTGTAAATTTGAATGCAGATGTGTAGAGAATTGCGCCAGAAACATTTAGAGGTATGCCACTTCAAAATCCGATTAAGATAAGTTGAGTTATGGAGTATAGAACTTCAGCCTTGGTACATTTTTTATGTTTTTTGAACTTCTACAACATTATACACAGAAAAATTCGAAAAAAATTGAAAAAAAAATAATTTTGTAAATTTGAATGCAGATGTGTAGAGAATTGCGCCAGAAACATTTAGAGGTATGCCACTTCAAAATCCGATTAAGATAAGTTGAGTTATGGAGTATAGAACTTCAGCCTTGGTACATTTTTTATGTTTTTTGAACTTCTACAACATTATACACAGAAAAATTCGAAAAAAATTGAAAAAAAAATAATTTGGTAAATTTGAATGCAGATGTGTAGAGAATTGCGCCAGAAACATTTAGAGGTATGCCACTTCAAAATCCGATTAAGATAAGTTGAGTTATGAAGTATAGAACTTCAACCTTGGGACATTTTTTAATTTTTTGAGCTTCTACAACATTATACACAGAAAAATTCGAAAAAAATTGAAAAAAAAATAATTTTGTAAATTTGAATGCAGATGTGTAGAGAATTGCGCCAGAAACATTTAGAGGTATGCCACTTCAAAATCCGATTAAGATAAGTTGAGTTATGAAGTATAGAACTTCAACCTTGGGACATTTTTTAATTTTTTGAGCTTCTACAACATTATACACAGAAAAATTCGAAAAAAATTGAAAAAAAAATAATTTTGTAAATTTGAATGCAGATGTGTAGAGAATTGCGCCAGAAAAATTTAGAGCTATGCCACTTCAAAATCCGATTAAGATAAGTTGAGTTATGAAGTATAGAACTTCAGCCTTGGGACATTTTTTAATTTTTTGAACTTCTACAACATTATACACAGAAAAATTCGAAAAAAAATAAAAAAAAAATAATTTTGTAAATTTGAATGCAGATGTGTAGAGAATTGCGCCAGAAACATTTAGAGGTATGCCACTTCAAAATCCGATTAAGATAAGTTGAGTTATGGAGTATAGAACTTCAGCCTTGGTACATTTTTTATGTTTTTTGAACTTCTACAACATTATACACAGAAAAATTCGAAAAAAATTGAAAAAAAAATAATTCTGTAAATTTGAATGCAGATGGGTAGAGAATTGCGCCAGAAACATTTAGAGGTATGCCACTTCAAAATCCGATTAAGATAAGTTGAGTTATTTGGATATTTTTAAATTTTTTTGAATATCTAATTTAATATGTAAACTTCAGCCTTGGGCCATTTTTTAATTTTTTTGAAGTTTCACAACAATATAACATCAGAAAAATTAAAAAAAATATATTATATTTAATTAAAGAAAAAAAGTTAGAATGCTATAGTGGAGTTCCCTGACTATCAGATACCCGTAAATCAGCTAGTGGAAGTGCGAAAGAGAAATTTCTAGTCACTTTTTGAGTAACGGATATAAAAATGAATTTAATACGTTGATGCCTACGATCCAGTAAGCTTTGAGTTTGATTTCTCGTGTTTCGACTACAGCATTTACTTTAGTTCCTTAAAGGTTAGTTTTTAGCAATTGTTATTAATCGAAACTTCAGTTCTATTCCCAGCCTGATTTCTAGACATGGAAACACCCGACAATAGGTTGTATATGTGCACCATGTGCTTTCGAAAGTGCTTTTGGAACGATCTGTCGAGGAAGGAGCTCCGCTGCACTCAGTGCAGTCTGCCTCCAAGGATCTGTGCCATTTGCAATAAGAGATTCGAGCCGAGGGAGATGTCGCATGTCTACTGCAATCGATGCCATTTCTATATCCTCAAACATGCCGCAGTCAAGCCCCCTTCCTTGAAGGAAAGTCCCGAGGGAGCGTTGGATGCTGGAAAATATAGAGAAGAATCCTCGTTTACGGAACGCTGGAAGGAGATTAGAGACGCCGCTGGAATCGTGGACGACGGATTCAGCGACTGAGTCACCATGCACTTTGTTTTGATCAGTGTAAAATGGATATGAAATGCTATAAACCATCATATATCCATTTACCCTGTAGTTTTATCTTAAATTACAAGTATTTGGAGCGAATCGGCTTTTCTAACAACTGCAGAAAGTTGTGTTCCGTATTTAATTTTATTCCAGAATTAATTACAAAACATGCGTCGAACAAATCGCGCCGTAAAGTAGTAGATTATTTCCGTAAAGCTCAAGGCGCTGCAGCCCAGGAAAAATCCAACAAGACCGCCGATGTAAACTGAAAGTGAAATGCGAGTGTTTTTAAGTGAGTCGGAAAAACTTTTGGGAAAGAGGGAAAACTCACCCAAAACATCTGCGAAGGAGAAAAGCACCTCACGCCGAAGCTGCATTTTGGGTATTTCGTTTTGCATGGTTAGTATGAAATAATTCATTAGTAACTCGCAGAAAATAAAAACAATAAAAGAGCATTAAGCTAATAAAAAGAAGCTCAGTTATGTATCATTCAGACGAAATCCAAGAAATATCAAGGATGTAGTTATGTACTTTTTCTTGATATTTACCAAATCTTTGAAGAAACACTTAACTTATTTGCGAATTAAATTGATTACTCCTACCTGCATTTTTGGGTGTTCCAAAATGCCCCACTGCAAGTTAGCTCCCAAAAACCAGACACGCGAGCGCTAAAGAAAAGTCGGGAAAGAGAGAAAATGGGAATATACGGAATATGTATAAGATAAGAGCAACAAAAGCGAAACGGGAACAACATCATCATCAGTATTCTGGTAACAAGGCAAGTAAGCAAAAATTATTATTAAATGTAAAAACTTTCGCCGCACACAGAGCGAAAAAAAGTTAAACAAAACTTTTGGTTTGCCGCCCCTTTTCGTACACCTCATCCCCAAAATAATTGCATATTTCAAGGCGCCCAGTTCCTGCAACTTCTGCGCTTATTATTTTTTATAGCCCCGGACTACAATTTTGATGTTTGTTTAAGGCACAAGCCCCTGCTCTCCGGCTCTCCGGCTCTTCGGCTCGCCGGCTCACCCTCTCCGGCGGATTTTGCTCAGTTTTCCGGGCATTTTTCCACTTGAAATGCGCGACGCAGCGGCGTCTGCAGTTGCCACTTAACGAGCGCTAGATGGCGCTTCTGTTCGCCATAAACATTTTTACAGTTAAAGTTTACTTTATATTTTTTAATAGGGTATTTGCCATTTTTTCATTTATTTTTATTATTATGTGCGATGTACTTACGTAGGATTGCACAAAGAAGTTCGAGTCGTCACAGTTGGCCAAGCAGTTGCAATTGATTTTGTATTTGTCCGATTTCAACGAGATTATCTCGCCTGGAAAACAACAAACAAAAGGTTAATACCAATTTTTTAATGTTAATATTGTTCTGCATATCAATAGTCCACCAAATTTATTGACTAACGCAACAGTTAAATTATTTACTGCAATGCAATGAAAGGAGCGTCAATATAATGTATATATTATTAGACACTATGCTTAAAATTCTAATGAAAAACAGGCTTTTTTGTTCAAAACATTTATCCAGCTTATCAACGTCAACCTGTCTGTAATCTTGTCTCCCCCAGCAAATTACTTCCACCTATTCAATTACGCAACAGGTTGTCTATTTCAACCTTGACTTTTGACCACCCTGCCACCCTAAATTAAATTATGGTCACGTTCTGGGAAATTTTCAGTCCATTTTTTATTCAGACGAAAAATGTAAATCGAATTTCCGGGGCACGATAAATATTTGCATGTTCCCGGTGCGGTGGAAATTACTCACGTTTAATTTTGACCAGGCATCCGATGCCCTCCAGTCCGCAAACAGGCAACCTCCGGCCATTTCGCACTGGAAAACGTTCAAGAGACGAATAGAGTGCATTGGAGCGAGACAGATAATCGTGCCAACGTTGCCACTTAAACTACGATTATTTAAGCATTTTACGACCGGGTTTTCGCCATAAAACTGGCCAGCTCCAATGCATCCCCGTTCGCCGCATAAAAGTTAACTTTAATGGGCGGCCAATTAAGTGCAACTCTGTGTGCCGAAAATATGATTATACCCAGTATACCCACAGCGGTTCCTGTAGAAGTGCGGAACGCATCCGCAGACCCGCAGCGCAAAAAACATCCTGCACTCCGAAAGACAGAGGCCAAAACTGTAGATGGGCACCGTCATCATTTCCTCGGCCTCGTAGTTGAAGCGGCAGCTCCTTTGCTTGGTGCTGAAACTGGCCAAAACAATCAGTACTCAATAAATGCTCTATTTATTATTTAGGGTGACTCACGCTCTTGCCTCCTCGTTCGTAAAGATCTCCAGGGCGATGAGCTCCACTGTGGTGTAGTCACTTTCCGGAAAAGTGTACCTCTGCTTGGAAATACTCGGTATGTCGCCGGCGCCGTGGAAATAAACATCGTAGGCCGTCGAAAGGTTTATGATCTGCGCGTAGATCTCGCCGTCCAGCGGATGAACAGTCACCCTGTCGCCGTGGTCCAAAATGCTCCAGTCGCCGTTGCGCCAGTATCTGCCAAGTGGCCGGGAGAAGCGGCAATCAAATCAGGCGCACTTCCTGGCCAACAATTACTCACTCGTAGGAGTTGTAGCGCGCCACCATCGAGTTGACTGAATGGCAAATGCCAAACTCCGTTTGCGTCTCGTAGATGAACATTTTGACGGCGGCGCCGCTGCTGATTTCCGGCTCGAAGCCCCATTTCAGTTCGTAGAGCAGTTCCAAGTACTTGGCGCTCGGAATCCCATACGACTTGTTCAGCGGCAGCGTCTCCAAGTTGTCGTAAGTGAGGCTGGCAAGTTTCACAATAAAATCGCGGAAGTCCTCCTGATCCTCCTCGGACAGGAATTGATCGGGATGGCTCCTGTGAGGGCGCAAATGCACTCAAATGTGTGAATCACATGCCTAGCAAACTCACACTATGTACTCCTCCACCTTCAGCTCATCGATCCGCTTGTGCGGACACACCGTGAGCGAGGGAAAGCTGGTGTTCCACACCAGCTTGTTCCGATCCATGGATATGACCATTGGCGAGGTCTGAAAGCGATGCCAAGTGCGTTTGCTGAGCGAGATGATGCTGAACAATGCCACGCAGATGAACGCCAGCCAGAGCACGCTGAAAAAAATGGCATAAAAATCGGTGTTTCCAAAAATGCCCACAGTCAAAAATGATATATGGCATCGGGCGAATAATTCGCACTGCTGTTGAGTGTGCATTGTGGCGCAGGACATAAAAATCTATTGCGTGTAAATTTTTTCTGTAAGCATTATGCGAAGTATTCGCGGCGAAGGAATGATGGCCAACTTCGAAGGAGGAGTCAATGAACGCATCAACGCTTTTGCAACCCTTTACTGGCTTTTCCTTCAGTCTTTCCATGCGCCACAAACAAACTGGCAAGCACACAGACAGAGTCGCCGAAAATCCTTTGCAGAATTTCCCATTTCTGGCGAATGCCTTCTACAATCACATTTTGATGCCAGCAATGGCTCATAAAGCTTTCAGTGCTCACACACACACTCGGCTACTTGGCTTTTAATTTTCCCAAACATTTTCCAGCTCCTTATTATTTTTGTGTGCAGCTCTTCGCTTTTCCCTCTCTGCTTTTTTTTTTGTTGGAATTTTCCTCTCTGACAGCTGAGTGCTGTACTTTGTCTAACACCACAAAATTCCTTTTGGACATCGCATATGACAGACTCATTGTCGTGCCCGCAACCATTCCCACACCCATTTTCGCATTTCCCTCCGCAACTGCCATTTTCCATCTCGTGTCGCTCTGGCCTGCAATTTGTGTATTTGCTTTGTTTCATCATATCTCGACACTCATATGCATAAAATGTGTGCGTGAATGAGGCTCAGTGATGCATGTGAGACGTCGAATATTTCTAGTTGGCAAATCGGGTTGGAAAATCAAGGGTTGCTTTCTTGCTTTTTGTGGATTGGTGGATTCTCGGATTCTTTAATGCCGACATAGTTTCTGGCTGAGGTATGCAACTGAAATGTGTGTGATGCGGGATTAATAATGTCAAAACGCTGTGATCAGAAAACTCTCAAATATTTACAAGGCAACTCTAAACTCTCAAAGTTTTAAAGGCAATTACAATTCAAGAACCAAAAGATTTGAGTTCGTTCTCGATAGCAGGCCTACTGAACTTTGAGTCAGGTAACTAAATACAATAATTTTAAACTCAATATTTACACAAACTATTTGTTGTCCCTGCTTTTTTAATTTTTATAATAGTTCTTTGCGCTTTAAAGAAGGTGTGTTTATTGGCGGCTGGAAGGAAGAAGTGCTATTTAAATTTGGGCTGTAACCGCTTCGCCATTTGTGAAATTCCGAATATTCCAATGAAGGCAAAATGGCACCTAGTTCCCGGCACTCGAAAGCCCAATGCCCTACCATAGATTTCAGATCCCCCACGAAAACAGCGCCCTAATCCTGTGCATCCTGCGCCGCTGCGTGTTTTGCATTACATTTGCAGTTTTCGGTTGTGGATTATGCAATTGTGCACCTGTCGCTGCCACCCAAAGGACGGGGGGTGGTGGGTGGAGGGGCGGAAAAGCCCTCATAGTTACCATATCAACGCTTGTGAAATTGAGGTTATCACATGTCAGCGACACAGACTCTTTCTCCCAGGTTTATGCATTTCCACTTCCCTTTTTCCCAGCTTGTTTTGTACGTGAGCGGGTGCTTTCATATATTTTTTGTGCAACTGCTTTGGATTTTGAGGGTGAGTTGGCAAGAGCTTAAGTCGGGCTTGTGATGGAGTTCTTCATAGTCCAGAAATTTGTGCGTCACAAGCTGATTTTTCGCCATAGCAAAGCAGACTTCCCATTTATACTTTTCTTTCAGTTAGCATGGCGAAATAAATCCGCACTACGCTGCGTGGAGCTCGTCAAAGAAATAAATTTCCAGAGAAAAATGTGCTGCAAATGTCCAACAAATCATTTTCACGAAATCAGTGGGGGAAAGTGTATTAATTAAGCCAAGCTTTGCGTGACCGCCTTCCCTTCATCTGGACTTCACC